AGCGTAACTGGACCGTTTTGGATCTGGAGGCTGGTGGCATTGTTTGGGCCATCAAACGCCTTCGCGGTTATCTGTGGTCGACCAAGTTCATCATCTTTTCGGACCACAAAGCATTGGAGAGCATGGGCAAGGTTGGGGAACACAACGCTAGAGTGCAACGATGGCTGGAATTCCTGTCCAACTTCACCTACACCCTGAAATATCGGAAAGGTTCGGCAAACGGCAACGCGGATTTTCTTTCGCGGTTGCCTTTACCAGCACAAGACACGGACAAAACCGGCCCCGACTGCATTGATGGTGTCGATCAAGCGGGTGTTTTCCTCATTTGGGCTTGCGGGCGCAACTATCACTCGTCGTCTACACCGGAGGTCGGTTTGGGTGGGCTCCGCCCTCCTTGCACGGCAGGAGTCTTTTCGCCCCCAGCGTTGCAGCCCTCCGATTTTGGGGATTTTCGCCAACATCACCCGCGTCGGGTGGATGCTCTGACGGACTCAAAGAATGCCTGCGAAAATTCTCAGCGGTCCCCGGGGGTCTTCATCGTCTCGCCTGTTCTCGCATCTTCAGGGCCTACTTCCTCATTGACGTCGGATGCTTCCCGCGTGATGTCTCCTGTCGCGTCTTTGGCGACTAGATATGTGCATGTTTTGTCTTCGCTTCCGGAGCAGGGACCGCTCATTTCTTCACGGACTCGGGCCAAAACTACCCCTGTTTTCGGAGGCGCCGTCACCGGTCCCGCTTATTTCGGACGCCAGCCGCGGGCTACCATCGTCCCTTGGACATCGTCGCCTGCCCGTCGCTCTAGCAGGTCCCGCTCGACAAACAAGACCACCCGGACCGCCGCGCGTCTGCTGCCGCCATCCCCAACGCCGGCATCAGCGTTTTCGTCGACTGCTCTTGCGCCACCGGTGTCTTCGCCGTTAGCGGCGCGCCCTGCATCCCCGACTTCGCCTTCTCTACAGGTTTCGCCCGGGACTTCGCCACTCACAATGTCCCCTTCGCGGACATCACCCCGGACTGCGGCTGCCCCAGTCGCTGAGGCTTCGCCTTCTTCCGCCTCTTCCATTGGATCGCCTGATTTTTTTTCGGAATCTTCTGATTTGGATACCTTCCACTTGCGGGCTTGTGTTCAGAGTTTCAGCACTGTGGACTGGGCTAGGGAACAGCAGCGGGAGAGCGAGTGTGTGGTGGCTATGCGTTTTTTGTCTTGCGGTTCTCCCTCCCCACCCCCTCCGGGCTTGCTCACTCTCTGTGCTCCTCTTCGCTCCCCTCGGCTAGATGATGTGCTTGTGTTGGCGGCGAAAACCAGACTGCACACGACCGATGACAACATCACCCTCCTCGTACATACATCGGCGACGTCGCCGGTTGGGCGCCTTGGCGGCAGGACCACTCGTCTGCCGGATACTGGCGTGCCCCATGACTACGTGCTAATGCTGATGCGTCCGTGGGTCCTTCATGCATGCCATACGGCCGCGTCATTCCATCTCGGCGCCCATCGTACACAGCGTCTGCTCGAGCGCTTCTACTGGTGGATTGGTTTGGAGCGTTTCCGTGCGCTGGTGGCTTCGGGCGTGTTTGGTGTGTCAAGCTCTCAAGACTTCACGTCAGACTGCTCGGTGGCCCGTCATCGCTATGCCCTTGCCGCAGGGGCCTGGTACGGTCGTCGGCGTCGACTTCTTCGGACCTCTGCCAGTGACTGCCAAGGGCAACTCCTACATTTTGTTGTTCACAGACTGTTTCAGTCGGAGAGCCGACATGTTCGCAGTTACAGCGGCGGAATCTACGGCGAGAGGGACGGCTCACATCTTCGTCAACCAATACATGACCAAGTGGGGATGTCCGACTACGTTATTGTCGGACAACGGACTGCATTTCTGCTCGAAGCTCTCCATGGCGATCTACGAGGTGATGAAGATCAAGAAGGTCACCACCAGCTCCTACCACCCACAGACCAACGGCGGCACTGAACGCGTCAACCACACGATGGCCCAGATGCTTGCGGTGGTCGTCAACGAACAGCAAAACGATTGGGACATACATCTCCCGCACGTTGAGTTTGCCTACAACAATTCCGTGAACCAGTCTACTGGATTAGCGCCAAACGAGATCCACATCGGACGCATCCCGCGACTCCCGCTTTCGGTCTTCGATCGTCCCACGGTAGGTGGTCATCAAAGCTTGGCCCGCGATCAACTCGAGTATTGCAACCTGGCTGTCGATCGCCAGCGCCGGGCCTAAGAACTTGTCCGCGAGTACAACGCGCTGAAGATTTCGCAAGTCGAACGCCGAAATTCATCCCTGCTGGACGCCATCCACAAGCTCCCTCAGTTTACCGTTGGCGGGTGGGCTTGGGTGTACAACACGGCTGCTACAATTCGACAGGGTGTGCAGATGGACACGGACAAACAGGTGCTCAAGGCCAAATTCGCACTTTCCTGGACGGGGCTCTACAAAGTTCTTGCGGTGGGTCCCACCTCTGCCGACGCCACTCCGGACGGCCGCCCGTTGGCGCATAAACTCCTCTACCTGGACCTGCCTTCCGATCTTTCCGGCCCGGCAGCTCGTTGTCGCGTGTCTGTCCTTCGTTGCAAGCCCTGTCGCAATCCGTACGAGACGGACGACTTGCCGCAATCTCTGCCCGCCGAGCTTTCGCGTTATGTTCTGCACTCCTTCGGAGATAAATGTCCACCTTTCCACGTCACCGCGGATGATGTGTCGGTGCCTGTCGGGCGCCTCGAGATCGACTACATCTCGGGACATCGACTGGTGCGGGGCCGTAGCGGCGTTCTCGCTGTCCTGTACCAGACGCATTGGGTAGGCCTGACTACTCCTCCATGGGAACGGAAATCCGACCTTGATCTATTCCGTCGACACATCCTCTTGTACTGGTCCCGGGAGGCCTGCCAAAGCAAGCAGGGTAACCGTACATATCGAGTGGCTCGGACTCGCGCGGCACAGCGGGAGCTAGCCCGGAATCGTGGAGAACGCTATTTGCCTCCTGGGGCTGATCTTGTGCTTCATGCGACTTGGCTTCGCCGTTTCAGCACTTCGCCCCTCCCTGTTGGCGCGCGACTGTGGTACAAGGCCCGTGATGGATTGTGGTGGACCGGACGCATTGGTGCTCATCAGGGCGGCTCGTA